AACCCAGCAACTCGAGCCATCGTCACTGCCTCCCGGGATGTGCTTGGGCAGGAAGCTGACGTCAGGAGCCGGAGCCGGGGATCAGAGCCCGGTGTTCTGCTGTGGGACGCGGGTGTCTTAGCTGCTGGGCCAGAGCCCTGCCCCTGGGTGTGGCCTCCAGTGCCGCCGAGTTCAGGAGGCGTGTGATCAGCCACGGTTTGCTTTGTATTTCAATTTCCAAGAAGAGTGAGCCTTGAAAGCTTTCTCACACGCACTTCTGTCCGCGGAGTATAATCACCATCGGTTTAGGAACTCAGACGGGAAATGTCATCGAATCAGAGAAGTAACTTAAAATGGTATTTTGCTTAAAAGCACCTGCCGCTGTGCTGTCTGCCACGCAGGAATTTAATTAAGAGACTTCCAGGATGGAGGCTGATGGAAAAAGTCAAAGACGTCGGGAGGCGGGGCCTCTGGGTGGGGAGGTGGAGGCTTGCGTTGCTCAGGTTGGGGCGGGTGCGTTGGTGCCAGGTTGCGTGAGGCGTGTCCGTCCTCTCACGTGTTCAGCTCGTCATCAGGCAAGTTGGTGTTTGCTGTACTGGCTGCAGGGGAGTCCGGGACTCGGTGTAGTTGTAGGGACAGATGGGAGTCGCGAGGACACAGTGTAGTAAGGACAGCTTAGTGGATCCTGCTCCTCACCCAAAATGGGAAGTGTGTACCTGCATGTGTGTGTGTGCACGTGTGTGTGGTCATGACGTATGTAAGTGTGTACCTGCATGTGTGTGTTCATGAAGTATGTAGGTGTGTACCTGCGTGTGTGTGGTCATGAGGTATGTAGGTGTGTACCTGCGTGTGTGTGTGTGCATGTGTGTGTTCATGAAGTATGTAGGTGTGCACCTGCGTGTGTGTGTGTGTTCATGAGGTATGTAGGTGTGTACCTGCGTGTGTGTGTTCATGAGGTATGTAGGTGTGCACCTGCGTGTGTGTGTGTTCATGAAGTATGTAGGTGTGTACCTGCGTGTGTGTGTGTGTTCATGAAGTATGTATATGAAGCTTCTTTTGGGAATTAGCAATTTACTTTTTTTAAAGATTTATTTATTTATTTGAAAGAGTTATACAGAGAGAGAAGGAGAGGCAGAGAGAGAGAGAGAGAGAGAGAGAGAGAGAGAGGTCTTCCATCCGCTGGTTCACTCCCCAGATGGCCACAACAGCCGGAGCTGCACCTAACTGAAGCCAGGAGCCAGGAGCTTCTTCCAGGTCTCCCATGTGCGTGCAGGGGCCCAAGCACTTGGGCCATCTTCCACTGCTTTCGCAGGCCATAGCAGAGAGCTGGATTGGAAGAGGAGCAGCCAGGACTAGAACAGGTGCCCATATGGGATGCCGGAGCTTCAGGCCAGGGCTTTAACCTGCTGTGCCACAGCGCCGGCCCCAAGAGGTGGCAGCTTTAACTGCTACACCACAACTCTGGTCCTGAAAATTTATTTTTACATAAACTCATCATTAAAGGAATTTGAGTGTATTCACATGTACTAGGGTATTTCAAAAAGTGCATGGAAAATGCATATCATGTGAAAACTGCATGGATTTCAGAATTTCTTGTACCAAGATGAAGTACCCCTTTAACTCCATTTCCCACGCAGTGTTTGAAGCTCCCTCCCGGAGTTAACAAGTCCTAAGGATTCAGGTTCAGTTGAAATGCTTGCCTTGGGAGACGCAGTAGGTGGCAGGTGGCAGAGAGGGCGTGGACTCTGTGTGGTCTCAGAACCACGTGGGAGGGTTTGCGACGCCAGCAGACCGGAGGCGCCTTCCTGCACACGTGCACAGCCCCCGCACGTGCACGTGACACAGCTGCAGGTGCAGTTTTCCCATTTAGCCCTCTGCCTCCACGGCTCTGGTCCTGGCTGGGCTGAAGACCAGAGAGAACCGCCGAGCTGTGCCGTGACTGGGGCTGTGCCCCCGTGTCAGCGATGCTGGGTGGCGGTCTCGGAGCCCTTTTCCAGGTCCCCAGGAGTGTTTATGGGAATGGCGGGTGATGGATTTAAAGGGCATTTAATTACAGTGCAGTGAGAATACGTGGCCGGCAGGCAGAACGTGTCCTGGATCTCACCAGATCCTTTGTGAGGCTTCATAACAAGACTGAGTGAGGGTTGGCCCGCACTCTGTGCGGGAGAACCTGCGTGTTTTACAGGAGGATGGGCTGGTGACGCTGGGCCAGCTTGGCTGGAACGCCTGCCTTGCTGTAAGAGGTGCATGCATGAGGTGTGCGTGAGGTTTGGATGTGAACGTGAACTTCTGGTTGGCCGTGTGGCCGTGGGGACGTCACTTATTACCCACTTGGGCGGGTGGTTGAGGGCTCCGTGCAGTAATGCATGCGTGGTCCCTGGCAGGCGTTCGTCATCGCTCAGAGACGACAGAACGTTCTATAACCCACTCTTGGTGACGGGGGCTCTGCTTTGCCTGCCGTCGGCTCCCCAGCACCTGGGAGGGTGCCTGCGACCCCTCTGGTTCCCGGGAGGCGTTTTACTCTGCTGCCTGTGGGCCCAGGTGCCAGGAAAGTGAGCCCCACATTTGATGAGGTCGTGGAGAAATCCTTAGACGAGCACGTGGAAGGAGTGGCTATTTAGGGTCAAGCGGAGGAAGGAGGCCTGGGGTGTGGGTCAGGAGGCCTGGTTTGGGGGTTGGGTGACGTGGGGTGTGGGTCAGGAGGCCTGGGTGTGGTCAGGAGGCTGGGGTGTGGGTCAGGCGTGACCTGGGTGTGGTCAGGAGGCCTGGTTTGGGGGCTGGGTGATGTGGGGTGTGGGTCAGGAGGCCTGGGTATGGTCAGGAGGCTGGGGTGTGGGTCAGGAGGCCTGGGGTGTGGGTCAGGCATGACCTGGGTGTGGTTAGGAGGCCTGGTTTGGGGGCTGGGTGGTGATGTGGGGTATGGGTCAGGAGGCCTGGGTGGGGTCAGGAGGCCGGGGTGTGGTCAGGCGTGGCCTGGGTGTGGTCAGGAGGCCTGGGTGTGGTCAGGAGGCCGGGGTGTGGTCAGGAGGCCTGGGTGTGGTCAGGAGGCCTGGGTGGGATCAGGAGGCCGGGGTGTGGTCAGGCGTGGCCTGGGTGTGGTCAGGAGGCCGGGGTGTGGTCAGGCGTGGCCTGGGTGTGGTCAGGAGGCCTGGGTGGGGTCAGGAGGCCGGGGTGTGGTCAGGTGTGGCCTGGGTGTGGGTCAGGAGGCCTGGGTGTGGTCAGGCGTGGCCTGGGTGTGGTCAGGCGTGGCCTGGGTGGGAGTCCGGGAGGGCCGGGGGTAGTCCCGAGGCCTTAGAGTATCAGGAGGCCGGGGTGGGGTCAGGCGTGGCCTGGGTGTGGGTCAGGAGGCCGGGGTGTGGTCAGGAGGCCTGGGTGTGGTCAGAAGGCCGGGGTGTGGGTCAGGCGTGGCCTGGGTGTGGTCAGGGGGCCTGGGTGTGGTCCGGAGGCCTGGTTTGGGGCCTGGGTGAGGTGGGCGGCTCCCCCGTGCGAGTGGGGATACGGGTGGGATGCTCTGTGCAGTTTTCCAGTCTGTGCCCCCCGAGCATTCACCCCCCTGGGACAGAACCACCGTGACAGGCGCCCGGCTTGTCAGTAAGCCTGTGGCTGGCTGTGGTCATTCTGCAGGGCAGCCTTTGTGACGAGAGCAGGGACAGGTCCCGCGCCCGCATCTCTCTGTCTCTTTCGTCCTTCACATTCTCGACGCCTCTCTGCACGTCCGAGTCATTTAGCATCGCACAGCTCCCGGCGTAGGCAGGCGGGGCCCTGGGACCCTCACGGCTCCCGCACGAGGCTGCGTGCAGCAGGGTTTTTAATTGAGGGGAAGAGGCGCCCTGCCTGACAGCCGTCTGTCTGCTCGTGTTGACAGCACCGGCTGCGCGGATCTGGGCCTGGGCGGCCCCAGCTGGAATCTGGTGAGGCTGAACTCTTAGTTATGGAGGTGGACTCGGCCCTCGCCCGAGAGGCCACCGTCCTGGACTGCTTCCAAGTCACCAGACGCCCAGGGAGGCTCAGATGGCCTGCAGCCCTCCTTCGCACAAGGTGAATCAGTTTAGCAATTTGCCTGCCTAATAGGATGCTGGCCTTGGGACCCTGTTACCGCACGTGCTGCTGGCTTTTTGATGTGGGAAGGGCGGCGGAACGATGGTGGACAGGCGCTGGCGTTTGTGTCCCAGGGCGCACATCCTGCCTCTGCTGCTCCCTAGTTCGTTAGCTTTTGGTCTCAGAAGCTTTTCTGGTCACCAGAGTCCTCATTCAGAAGTTTGCAAGGGACACAAAATCCTTCGTCAGGGGCTGGTGCTGTGGCGTAGCGGGTTAAACTGCTGCCTGCAACGCTGACATTCCATGTGAGCACCAGTTCGAGTCCTGGCTGCTCCACTTCTGGTCCAGCTCTCTGCTGTGGCTTGGGAAAGCAGTGGAAGATGGCCTAAGCACTTGGGCCCCTGCACCCACGTGGGAGACCCGGAAGAAGCTCCTGGCTCCTTGGCTTTGGCTTTGCGCAGCTCCGGCTATTGTGGCCATTTGAGGAGTGAACCAGCGGATGGAAGACCTCTCTCTGTCTCTCCCCTTCTCTCTCTCTAACTCTGCCTTTCAAGTAAACAAAATAAATCTTTTTAAAATTTGTGGGAAAAAAAAAGGTTCCTTAGCTGCAGTGGTGTTCCGGACACACCTCGCCACTGCCGCCGTGGGGGAGGCGTCAGTGCACGGGAGCTGAGGCTCAGGTTCTCGGTGCAGGCAGCTCCTGCCCTCAGCGTCTCAATTTTCTCTTAATTTCCCAGGTCTTGGCTTTAAGATCCAGTGCCAAACTCGGTGGGTCCAGGAAACCGGCAGTCTTCAGCCCAGCCCCCCACGCCCCTGCACACACATGTGTGATCACGTTTCCCTGATGAGTCCTGCCAGCTCTCAGGCCTCACTGTGCTCCTGTCACCCAGAGGTCGGACTCTTGGCAACCCCTGCCATCTGGCCCGGGTCCAGGAGAAGCAGCCTCTGAGCCCAGCTGTCTGCGCGTCCTGGCCGGGGGTGGGGTGGGGGGGGGTGGGGGGGGGCGGTGGCTGCGCGGTGGTGGCCGGGTCTGCATCGCACCCAGTCCAGGCCGGGGCAGCCAGCGCCGTGAGCCAGCATCGTTGGTGCAGCCGAGTCGTGAGCATGTGGCAGAGCTGTGTTCCGCGCCCCCTGTTTATTGAAACAGGAAAAGCGAAAATTGGTTTCTGTGGGATTCCCAGCTGAGGTGTTTGCAGGAACCCTTTGGGGCTCAGAGGCTGTTGCTTGTCAAGGCCACGCTCGTGGCCCTTGGGTCCTTGGGTGCCCTTAGCCCCGGTTTCTGTCCGTTCCCTGACACCGGTGTCCTACGCTTGGCTCTTCTGCCGCGAGGTCGGTGTCCGTCCTGCTCCAGGAAGACCTCAAGTGTGGCCTGAACTCCAGCACCAGGGTCTGTGGCTCAGCCCTGCCGTGGCCTCTCCACAGCCGTGGCAATGCTTCCCGTGTCCTGATGTTCGTGTCTCTGACGGCAGCGGTGTCCAGTGGTTTCCTACGCACATGCGTGCCTGCCGCTCACGTGCAGAGCCGTTTGCTGTCCGTGTCTGCCCTGGCACTCCCCAGGAGCCTGCCAAGTTGGGCCCGTCGGTGGGATCTTGCCAAGGCCGTGTGGCTGATTCCTGGGAGGGAGATGACAGATGGACCTGTCACGTGGGCTGCATGTCTGTGACGGAGGGCGTGGCCGCACCAGTGAGGGGTGGAGGAAGGACAGCTCAGCCTGGGAGGCTGGACGCTGGGTTGTGAGCGGGACCCCCACGACTGCCCAGGGGGCCCAGTGGAGGGGGCACACTGCTGAGGGCGGGGCCTCCCGGGGTGTGGCCAGAGGAGGCTCAGCCCGGAAGGCTGTTTCCAGGTGCCCATCCTGCCCCTGCACACAGCGTCTGTGAGACGTGTGTGGGGACGTCGGGCCGCAGTCACCGCCCCACAGTCAGGCTGCCCGCTGTGCAGGGAGACTGGGATTTGGGGCCAAATCCAGGTTTGCATCTCTTCCCGTCTCTGCCAATTTCTTCCTTGGTAAATTGACTTTGTCCTTGAAGTCTCAGTTGCATTTAAAATGAGGACAGTAAAGCCCACCTCGCCTGCCTGCTAGGGTTGCTACAAAGCTGGGATCCTGCGTGTGATCTCTCTGGGGACACGAACCCCGACTCTGTTATTTTTAGCCTGTGAGGAGCTGGCTGGCACAGCGTGGGTGTTACCATGTAACCTGTGCGCGTGTGACTCACGTGGTGATCTTCCTGGAAGTTAATAATTCAGCCGATGGACGTGGTGGCAAGCAGGACTCGCAGGGTTCTCCTGTGCGCGGGTGCTGCGTGAGGCTTAGGAGGTGGGGGTTGGGTGCTGGCCCGGGGTCCATCTGGGAGCTTTGATCACTGAGGGCTCAGAAGGTGGAGCCTGTTTGCCACTCTGCAGCCAGCAGCAGGAGGAAGGGCTGCTGTCGGCCCCAGGGAGGTTGTGTTACCATTCAGTTAAGTCTGGAGGCCACGGTCAGTGTTGGAGCAGCGGGGAGAGCAGTGACTGCCCAGAGAGGCCTGAGACGCTGCCCGCCTCCTGCGAGTTCCAGTCATGGAAGGAAGCCTTGACCGCTGGGGGACGGGGTCACGGAGATGGGATTCAGAGCTTCCGCTGCTCCTGCCTATGAGCACGGCCGGCCGAGCTGCGGAAAGGGACAAGGCACGGGCTCTCGCCACCGGGAGCCTGAAGCGGCGACCTGTGAAACGGGGCAGGGGGAGTTTTCTCAGAGAGGGGTTGTGGAGACCATGCGGCACAGCGGGTGGGAAGCTGGCGGAGGAAGGGGGGCACCTGGAAGCATCTGGGGGGCTGAACCCAGAGAAGTGGGGAAATGGGCCGGCTGCGGACCCATGAGATGTGCCCAGCTGCAGACCCACAAGGTCTCCAGGGAACGGCGGAGCAGAGGGTGGGGCCGGTGGAGCAGAGGGTGGGGCCGGAGCCTTCGTCCTCACCCGGGGAGCTTCCTCCTGTGAGCCGGAGGGCCTGTGCTTTCTCCTGAGCTCACTGCATCCGTAGTGAAGGGGGCTGAGGTCCCGAGAGCCCTGGGAGCCCCCACCCCCTGCCTGCATTTGGCTCAGGCTGGGCTGCTGCAGCCTGGGGGCGCTGTCCTCCCAGCAGGTGCTGAAGCCTCGGCGTCTGGCGGGGTCTGGAGTCTGCGCGGAGAATGTGGAGAATGTGGAGCAGGACCCCAGGTCCCTGGCACCCACCGAGCGGCGACAGGAGATAGGTGCGAGGTGCATGGTCTCTAGTCTCTCTTTCCTCCCTCCTGGCTCGCAGTCTGGGAGCCTGTGGCTCTCGGGCGGGAGCCCTGGGGCACTCACTCTCCTGTTGGAATCTGTGGACAGACACCTTCCCAGGGAGCTGCGGTTTGTGATGAAGTGGAGTGGTTGGGAGGAAGGCAGTGGGGCCAGCAGAGCACCTGGGGGCGGCGTGAGGGGAGACGTCACAGTGGGACTGGCTCGGGCGCCCGTGCTGGGCTTTTCTGCAGTGGTGGGCGGGGACAGAGGCGACGCTTGGGGAGCGCGAAGCGTGTGCTGGCGCTGAGTTATTCACAGCCTCATCGTCTGGAGCTCCCTGAGTGTCTGCCGTCGCTGTTGTGTGATGACTCAGACGTATTTGGGCTGTCCCGACTGCTGGGTGTTGGATTGCCTGCAACGGTGCCCCCTCAGGGACCTGCTGGACGTAGCGTCCTGCACGTCAAAAAAGCTGCTGATGGCACTGTGTAGACACTGGCAAGTGTGTGGTGACAGGGAGGTCACTGGAGCCCTCTTGGGCCGTGGATGGCTGAGGCCTCGATGTTGGAACCGCGCCCATGAGCCTTGGCAGCCACACGGCACATGACGGTGGAGAGCGACTGACAAACCAGTGGACGGTGGGTGTCGGCAAGTTACCTCAAAGGCGTTGGGTGGTGTGTGGGTCTGCACCCAGCATTTGTCATTCACTCCAGCCCTCCCAGAGTGCCTGTGCTCCCCGCAGCCCTGGCCTGTCCTGAGGTTACAGAAGAGAAAAGCCACAATTTTCTGTTGGTTTTTAAAAATCACTTTAATTGAGGAATACTTTATGTACAATAAAATCCACCAGGGTGAAGTCTGTAGTTCACTGACCTTTGTCCTGTGTGTCATGGGTTTGCCACTATAGGTGTAATTTAGCAATACATCACCCCAGAGGAAGAGGTCTTCCTCTCCTTTTTTTTTTTTTTAAATCTATTTATTACTTCCAGAGGCAGAAAGACCGTCAGAGACAGCTCCCGTCCACGGGTTCACTCCGCAAATGCCCGTGGCTGCCGCCGGCAGGAGCTGAGGCTGGGAGCGGGGGACCCCGTCCAGGTTGCACGTGGCAGGGTCCTGGTACAGGGGCTGTGCGGCAGGCAGGGGGAGCCGGGTGTGGAGCTCAGGCAGCCTGACTCGGGACGCGGGCCTCTTAGCACTGCCCCCGCAGAACGCCTCCTCCTGCCGCTCGCCACAGAGCCCTGCAGTCACTGGACGGCTTTGCCTGTGAGAATTTCGTGGAAATGGAGTCGTGTGGTCCGGGACCCTCTCTGTCTTTGCCAAGCCTGCATCGCGCGTAGCTGAGGCCGTGCCTGTGTAACGTTCTGGGGCATGGGTGTACCCCGGTAGGGCATGGGTGTACCCCGGTAGGGCATGGGTGTACCTCGGTAGGGCATGGGTGTACCCCGGTAGGGCATGGGTGTACCTCGGTAGGGCATGGGTGTACCCCGGTAGGGCATGGGTGTACCTCGGTAGGGCATGGGTGTACCCCGGTAGGGCATGGGTGTACCCCGGTAGGGCATGGGTGTACCTCGGTAGGGCATGGGTGTACCTCGGTTTGTTCACCAGCTCAGCACGGGCTGGGCTTTGGGTTCTTCCCGGTTCTCAGCTGTGATGAGTGCAGCTGCTGTGAACACTTGAGTGCAGTCTTTGTGTAGACATGTCTTTGACTTGGTGTGAAATACGTGGGGGTGGCGTGGCCGGTGGTGTGTCCGTGTGTGTTTACCTTCATCAGACACAGCCATGCCGATTTCGTCTCTAGTGACCTCACCTCCTCATCAGCACTTGGTGTTATCTGCCATCCTGGCCTTTGTAGAATGGATGTGGAGTGCAGTCTCACTGTGGCTTCGTTCACATCTCCTCGATGGCCAGGCAGCATCGGCTGTTGTCGGTCTCCTGGCTGCCCTGTGCTCAGGGCCATCTCCGTAGAGATCCTGGGACTCGGGCTTCCTCCCCGTCTTGGTGGTGGAGCCTTGCTGGGATTACGAAGGGAAATGGCGTTGGAGCCACAGTGTTCGTTCCCAGGTTGCCCAGGGCTCCATGACGGTGTCCGTATAACCTTGACAGGGTTTTGGAAGAATCTTTGCTATTTCCAACGCTTGCTGAGAAGTTTCCAAAACAGATTACACTGGGATGTGTGCGTCCGGTCACTGTGAGGTGATGTCACTGGAACATTTAGGACTCCCGGGGTCTGTGGGGGGCACCGCCGCAGGGTTTGTGTGCTGTTGGGCGCACGTTGAGTGTGCAGGGGGCGTGACCTGGAGTTTGCAGGAAGGTGCAGAGACACAGGTCCGACGTTCTTACCGCCCCCGGTGGTTGAAGACCCCTGTGGAGACCCGCGTTCCCAGAATGGTCACAGTAGAACCATGGGCTCCTGGTGACACCCTCGCAGCTTTGGAGAGGGTCACGGAGACTCCGGGGGCGGGGGGGAGTCCTTTGTGCCAGCAACGCCATTTAATGAGTATTTATTGAGAGTGAGCCGTGAGCCAAGCCTGGCCCTGCCGTGATGAAGACAGAAAAAGTCACATCGATGAGTGTGAGAGGTTGAAAGTTGGTGTTTGGCGTGTGTGCGTGTGCATGTGTGTGTGTCTGCATGCATGCATGTGCAAGCACACGCGTGCAGATATTGTGTGTGCGTGTGCATACAGTGCCTCCAGTTAAAGGTCAGGCAGAGCAGCAGAGCCAACTGTAAAGAATGAGTGTTGAGCACATCACTCCCTCATGAGGTTGTGCCGGCTTCGCAAGTGCTTAGACTAAGTACCTCAAGGTTGTGCCGGCTTCACAAGTGCTTAGACTAAGTACCTCAAGGTTATGCCGGCTTCGCAAGTGCTTAGACTAAGTACCTCAAGGTTATGCCGGCTTCACAAGTGCTTAGACTGAATACCCCGAGGTTATACTGGCTTTACAAGTGCTTAGACTAAGTACCTTGAGGGTATACTGACCTCACAAATGCTTAGACTAAGTACCTCCAGGAGATACTAGGTGCTAGTAGTGGAGTTGCAACAAAGTTCCTATTTCAAAGCTTTCCAATTTAGTTTTTAAGGAAGCCGGGTGCTTCTGTCTGTGGTTGCCACTTAGTGCTGTCACCCTCTGTGTCACCCACGGTGCTAAAAGGTAGTTCATGCCCTGGCCTCCGTCTTGTGCCTTGCAGGTGAGTTAGGCTATGATGTCGTACATTGGAGCGATTTTTTTTTTTTTAATTAATTAATTTATTTGAAAGGCACAGCTACAGAGAGGCAGAGGCAGAGGGACAGAGGTCCTCCATCTGCTGGTTCACTCCTTAAATGGCCACAACGGCTGAAGCTGCGCTGATCTGAAGCCAGGAGCCAGGAGCTTCCTCCGAGTCTCCCACATGGATGCAGGGGCCCAAGGACTTGGGCCATCTTCCACTGCTTTCCAAGGCCACAGTAGAGAGCTGGATCAGAAGTGGAGCAGCTAGGACTTGAACCGGTGCCCACATGGGATGCCGGCATTGCAGGCGGCAGCCCTCCCCACCGCGCCACAGCGCCAGCCCCGTGATTTGTGTTTGAGTAAGAAGACTTTTAACCCACCTCACAAGGAGCCGTTGGTTTTGAAGTAAAAACCACCTGGAGCAGGCTGCTGGTGCGGTGGTTGAAACACTAGTGGGACGTCCTCTTCCCACGTCAGAGACTTGGGTCCAAGTCCCGGCTGCGCTCCTGAGTCCAGCTTCCTCCCAGTCACATCCTGGGAGCTACCAGGTGATGGCTCAAGTACTGGGGTCCCTGCCACCCACGTGGGAGACCCAAATGGAAGTATCTTCTCCTGGCTTTGGCCTGGCCCAATCCTTCCGTTGCAGGTGTTTGGGGAGTGTTGGGGAGTGCCTCTCCCTCCCTCTCTGTGTCTCTCTCTCTGTGTCTCTCTCTCCCTCTCTCTAAGAGAGAACCTTGCTGGTGGAGTGAGTGGCCCATGGGGACTCTCAGCCTCTGGCCCTGCGTTCTCAGTCCCTGCTCGCCCACCCCTCACCCCGTCCTCTGCAGCCAGCCAGGTGTCCTGCCGATGGCCTGGCACTGTCGCCTTCTTCAGGATTTTGTTAGCTGACCGCCTGCCTCAGGGCCGCTGGGTAGGAGCCTCAGGGCCGCCGTGCGTGGAGCTTTGTGAGTCAGGCACAGTGCAGGCCCTGGCCGGGCAAGCCCTGTCCTCTCCCCTGTGTTGTCCAGGCCCCGCTGGTGAGAAGTCCTGGCTGCCTTGGGAGATCTCAGTCCTTCGAAAGCCAGAATGGCGCCACAGTCACTCAGAGCCTGGCAGCAGTGACAGACCTGCCCGGTGAGCGTTGCGCAGTGACCACAGGTTCTGCAGCTTTTTCCTCCAAGGTCGATGCACCGTTATTCTCTTGGCTGATTGTCTCTCTGAGCACCCTGAGGACGTAGCCCGTGGCAGAGTGTGGTCGGCTCGGGGACAGGAGGGTGAGCACCCTGAGGATGTAGTGTGTGGCAGAGTGTGGTCAGCTCGGGGACTGGAGGGTGTGGTTTTGGAGCTGAAAAATGAGAATACACAGGTGGCATCTTGGATTGTCTTTACCTCTGTGGCCTTGGAGAATTGGGAAACTTTTTCTGAGCCCAGGTTTCTGCTGCTTCCCTGTGACCCCTGGCCCTGGCTGGGGTCTGTGTCTCCTCTGCAGGTTCCCGCAGTCTGGGGTCTCTCCTCTGCAGGTCCCGCAAGCTGGGGTCTCTCCTCTGCAGGTCCCGCAGCCTGGGGTCTCTCCTCTGCAGGTCCTGCAGGCTGGGGTCTCTCCTCTGCAGGTCCTGCAGTCTGGGGTCTCTCCTCTGCAGGTCCCACAGCCTGGGGTCTCTCCTCTGCAGGTCCCGCAGCCTGGGGTCTCTCCTCTGCAGGTTCTGCAGGCTGGGGTCTCTGCTCTGCAGCCCCTGGCAACCCCTGCCTTGCCCGCACCTCTGTTCTGTGCCCCAGCCCCTCTGCACATCCTTACTTCCATGTTCCAGATGGCTGATGCTGCCGAGGGCACAGTGATTTTCAGCCAGACTGCACCTCTGGGTGGCCCCCGTCTGTCCCCACCTGTTCCTCGTGCCTGTCAGGCCTCCTGCCCCTACGCGGCACCACGTGTGGGCTCCTCCGGGTTCGAGGCAGCGGGGTCCGGCCTGGTGTCTGTGTTTCAGCCCAGGACCTTTGTTCAGATGCATCGTGTAAAGGGGGCGGGCACGCCTGGGCCGGGGCTCACACTGAACCTGCCCCATGAGGGTCCCTGCAGTTCTGGGGTTGAATGGAGCAGAATGATGCGCTGCCAGGTGTCCACCCATCCCCTCCTCACCCCTGCCCTGGAGACCGTGTGGCTGAGGGACCCCACCCAGGAAGCCATGGAGATCACTGTCAGGTGGGCTGATTGCTGGGGAGGGAGGGGGCGGGGCGGGGCTTCGCTGTCATTGGATGCTTTCTGTGTCAGTCAGCGTTCGTTACTTTTCATACCTTTTCATTGCCTCCTCGTTTGGGGGTTCACAGCGAAAGGCCAGGTGGCCCCTTGAGCTGGCGTGGGGTGGGGGCTTGAGGTGGTGGGGTGGAGAGGGAGCGGGAAGCAGGGCCGCGGGCACAGCTCTTCCGCCCTCTGTGCCCTGTCTTTCACAGCCACCACTAGCCCACGTGGGGTCTCCCAGCATCCTGGCCCGATCCAGTCGCTTCCCAGAGGCCCTCCCTCTAGCTGCCAGATTGGGTTGAGCCCCGGCCCCAGCCTGTCACCCATCAGTGTTAACCCATTGACTTGTTAACACAAGCCTTTGGGGTTCAGACTTCTGCACGAGCTTGGGGAGCCAAGTCCCGTTCGATCCAAGTGCCAGGGCGTCCCAGCAGCTCCCACGTGCCCTGGAGACTGCTGCCCGTGCTTGGGGACGCGTCGAGACGTGGGAGTGAGTGCTCCTGCCTGTGTCTGCAGAGCTGGGGACAAGCGCTGTCACCGCGGCTCTCACGCAGGCCTGGGCCAGGGAGGACGCCTGGCGGCTCTGGCACGGCCCCTCGCTCCGCTTGCCCCGCGAGCGCCGGGGGTGGCAGCTGGGGACGGAGGCCAGGCTGGGACTTGCGGTGGAAGCGCCGTAGGGCACAGGGCCATCTACCGCCTTAGAAGGCGGCTCAGCCTCGTCTGTGGCTCTGCACACAGCCGGCCAGCGCCTTCCTGCTTTTCTTCTCCCTCCCCGTCCTGCCTGCTTCCCATTCCATCACAGGGAATGGGGCCAGCTCTTCTGCATGGGAGACAGGAACTGAGACGGGGAAGAGCGAGACCAGGCAGGACTGAAGACAGCAGTGACTTCACGTTCCCCTCGGAAAGCTCAGGGAAGATTGTGCATCCTGGGTGGGTGCCAGTCGGGACCCCCACCCTCTACCCTGCGGCTCTTGGGAAGACCGAGATGTGGAGCCCCTATGGGTCACCCTGGTGATCTGGGGTGTGCCTGTGCTCTTGGGGACACTTGGAGAGCTCTGAGGGCCGTCAGGGCTGCCTCCGACTTTAACACTGTGGCCATCATGGGCCTGTCTGGGACCTTGTGTCACAAGTGGGGTTCCCTCAGCCATGGGGTCTTTGGGATCAGGAGGGGCACAGCAGGCACCCGGCAGCCACCCCCTGGCGCCTGTGCGTCAGGCCTGGGTTTCACCCTCCCCTCGTCCGTCCATCAGCATGGAAGCAGAGACGACAGGCGACTCCCCCGTTTCCCCACCCCACCAGGTTGGCCTGAGTGCCCCCCTCTGCCACTTGCCATGTGGTCCTGCCTGTGCCACCCCATGGGCAGCCAGAGAAACATGTTTTTCAGACAGCTTTGAAAAATGCAAATGCGGATGGAGGAGACTTACTGGAGGAAATGAAAGATAGCCGGAGCTGTGAGGTAGTTTGTTCTTAGAGGGCTTTGGTCTGTTACAAGACCTGAGTAACAGCTGTCCGGTGCTGGCGCAGCCCTGGGGTGCTGTGTTCTCAAGGCCGCCTTGTCCAGCATCGTGGAGACCCTGGCCCTGAGGAAGAGCGCTGTCTGTTATTGAGTGCCGACTGTATGCCAGACGCAGTCTGCCTGGATGATCTCATCCTGCGGAGCAGGTGCGTTTGTTCCATCTGTGGAGCGAGAGCTGGCGTGAGCGAGGTGCGCTCGTTTTCAGAGCTTGGTCCAGAGCCAGGTCTGTGATCCCAAAGCTGGCCACTTTTGACCTCTGGCCTCTCCTCCCATGGGAACCAGGGTTTTTTTTTTCGCTGTGTTAAATCCTCTGGTCAGTTACAAGAACATCAAACTCGATAGCAGGAGGCGTCTCCAGCCCCTCGGCTTCCGGGTGCCGAGCCTGGCACAGGGTCTCCAGGCGCCTTCCGCCGCCCCGGCCCTCCCTGTGTCCACGTGGGGTCAGCAGGAACTCCCCGCTGTCTCACGGCTCCTCTGCCCTGCTTGTTTTGCTACAGCCAATTTCATGAGGCTTGAGCGGCGTTTCCTGGGGAAATCGGTCTGCCCCAGGAGTCCATTGTCTTCTGGGACCGGGAAGATGCGGAAGTGTGACCTCACTCCCAGCTGAAGGTCACCTTCCCAGCCTCGGCTCTGCCTCTTCCTGCACAGCAGGGCCCAGGCCTGGCCGGGCGGCCGCTCCCTCTCTCTGCAGCGGCTGCTTTGCAGGAACGTGCCCAGAACCTTCCGGCGTGCTGCCTCCTCTTGCTTGCGAGTCTTCTCTGGACAGAGCCCGGTTCCTGCTGCTCTCCGTGCTCCTGTCAGAGGCAGCAGGAGTCAGGAGAGCAGATGTCAGGGCCCCCCCCCGCTCTCCCCAGAGGCAGGCCGCCTGCCCGCCCGCCTGTGCTGCCGTGGGGGGCGGGGGCTGTCTTGCCCAGTGCGCTTCCCCTTCCCCACAGCTTGCAGGTTTTCTGCCCCCTAAACAGCAAGCAGGCCCGGAAGCATCTCTGCAGAGCGGGATTCCCGGCGGAAGGCTGTGCCTCTGGGCCTGGGCTTTTCACGTGAGGTGTGCGCAGCGCCCAGAGCCACGCACGCTCCTGGACGTCAGGCCACGTGTCCACGCCGGTCAGCGCCGTTCCAAGCATTTGGTTGTCGGCTTGGTGATCTCCCTGGGCGTTTGGGATTCTTTCCTGGTCTCTCTTTTTTTTTAAGATTTATTTATTTATTTATTTGAAAGTCAGATTTACACAGAGAGAGGAGAGGCAGAGACAGAGGTCTTCTGTCCGATGGTTCACTCACCAATTGCCACAATGGCCTGAGCTGCGCTGATCCGAAGCCAGGAGCTTCTTCCGGGTCTCCTATGCGAGTGCAGGGGTCCTAGGACTTCGGCCATTGTCTACTGCTTTTCCAGGCCACAGCAGAGAGCTGGATTGGAAGAGGAGCAGCCGGGGCTAGAACCAGCGCCCATATGGGATGCCGGTGCTTCAGGCCAGGGAGTTAACCCGCTGCGCCACAGCGCCGGCCCCTGTTTTTTCTCCTTTTAAAAGTGCTGCTGAGACAGTGTGCAGCCAGGAGGGAGATGTGTTGCAGCCCCTGGGGAGCTGTGCAGGGGACGCTTTGCTCCCTCTTGGAAGTGAGTCCCCGAGCCCAAGCAGGTGCCACGTGCGCATCGTGGCGATGCCAGTCCTGCCACGGGCTGCCTGCCGCGGCCTCCCCTCCTCCCAGCGTTTCTCCCCTCGAGGGTCCTTGGTCCCATGGCCGCCGTGGACAGAGTCAGGGGAGCTCAGGGCAGCAGTGTTCGGCTGGCAGCTTGGGTCGCGCGTCCCTCATCTTGCTCCACAGAATTCTCTCCTCACGGCCACACCTGAGGGTTTCCCGTGTGCTGCACACGTCACACAGGACCGAGAGCCGAGTGTCCCACCACCGTCGCCTTGCCTGTCTCCTCAGGTGAACACTGGGTGGCTGCATGTGCCGCCTTCCAGAGTGTTCGCTGTGTATCCATTTGTGAACATGTGCAGCCTTGAGTGTTTCTGTCCTCTTTGTTGTTGTTAAATCTGTTTCATTGACATATTTTTGTGGGCAGCATTAAACAAATTGCCCCTACCTGCGAGGTGGTCAGATAACAGAGAAAGTGTAGCATGTTGAACTGCTTTGTATTTTCCTTAATTGAAAAGTTTCAAACATAAAGTGCTCATTGAGGGTTTGAAATTAGAGAGACCAGCACACTCCAGCTGCCCTGGGAGGGCTGTGGTGGCTTCTTCCTGTGTCTGTAGGTCTGTGCACAGTTGGTGTGAACAATGTAATACTTGTTCTCATTTATATTTTTTCTTGCTTTCACAATTTTTGTCTGCACTTAGTTGGTTTAGGAGATACACTTGTACTTTCTGCTTCCTAAGATGGAAGAGCTTTTTAATTTTTTTTAGAGATTTATTTATTTATCTGAAAGAGTTACACAGAGAGAGAGAAGGAGAGGCAGAGGCAGAGAGAGAGAGAGAGGTCTTCCATCCACGGGTTCACTTCCTAGTTGGCTGCATCGGCCAGAGCTGTGCCAATCCAAAGCCAGGAGCCAGGAGCTTCTTCTGGGTCTCCCACACGGGTTCAGGGGCCCAAACACTTGGGCCATCTTCTACTGCTTTCCCAGGCCATAGCAGAGAGCTGGATGGGAAGTGGAACAGCTGGGACCCTAACCAGTGCCCATATGGGATGCCGGCACTGCAGGCGGCAGCTTTACCTACTACACCACAGCGCTGGCCCCAGCTTTTTAATTTTTAACTTTATTTTCTTCCTTTTTTTTCCCTGTATCTTGAAAGGCAGGGAGAGAGAAAGATTTCCCATTCTCTGCTTCACTCTCCAGATGCACATCAGAGCTGAACTGGGCCAAAGCCCAGAACCCAGAACTGCATGTGGGTCTCCCAGGTGAGCGGGGTGGGCGGGTACCGACGTACCTGAGCCATCACTGCTGTCTCCCAGGGCGCACATGAGCTGGGCGCCGCAATCAGAAGTGGAAGAGCCGGGACGTGACCCAGGCACCTGGTACAGCCACGTGACTGCTGCACCGCCCCCACGCCCTCCCCAGCCGCACTTCTGCAGAGGGGAGGAAGGCCGTGCGGCCTCACCTTCCCAGCAGCCACTTCACTGGCGTTTTGTTAGAGCTGTGCTCAGGGGTAATGGGCTGGCCCTTGGCGTGCTGGCTGGGGACTCGCGTCAGCCCCGTGAGTGAGGCTGGCCTCCTGTGACAGGATGGATACCCACTGTGCCACCACCCCCACGCTGGCCAGGGTGGGGACAGATCCCAGATGCTAAAACAACATCTGGGGAAAAAAACTGAAGGAAGTGTTTGCCGTTCATGTGACTGGCTTCAAAGGCCACCTACCTTAGGAGCTCAGAGGGCAAGTATTAGCAAGGTTAGATTAAGCCGTGTAGGAAGAGTGCCCGGAAGTGCCTCGCAGGACCCCAGGAAGCTGCTGGGCTGAGGAGAGGAGCTGGCCTGGGCCTGCTTCTCTCTGATGGGCAAAGAGGGGGCGCAGGGATCCCCGAGTTCCTTTTGCTTATTTATTGTGTGTAGCCGAAGTGCTGGTCCCATGAATGACCCCCGAGAGTTCACTTCCATTGCTTGCTCTTCCCCCAAACTCCAGTTCGACCTTCACTTCTAGTCTATAACAGGTCTCGTTCTTGCTGGCGTAGCTCAGACGTGGGTATTTGCGGTACCTCAAACAGTGACCATTGGGGGAGCAGGCTGGCCTCACTGCCGCCGTGCCCTGGTCCCCCGTCGCCACCAGCCTCCTGGAGCCTCGCCCCTCCCCGTGGTAACTCAGGGGTCCTGCTGTCCTGACTGCGGGGCTCATCTGTAGCTTTGCCAGCCGTCTGTGCCTCCCAAGTCACCCTGGTTTGCCTGTGGTTCTGACCTTGTCTGGTGCTGCACTGCGTGTCGTCTTTGGCCCGGTCTGTTGGTGGTCTGAGGGGTGAGTGAGTTCCTTCCTGCTGCCCAACAGCTCTCTCTTGCGTGGACACACGTCAGTGACCCACTCGGGGACATTTAGGTTCGTATACAGTAACACCTTGCTTGTCTCCTGTGGCAGGTGCGTCTGTGCCTTTGATTTTAGTAGAGAGTAACGGGGAGTCTCGCCCTTCCTGGCTCAGCCATTGGCACACGTGTCTTCCACAGCTGTGCTGGCGCCTGGGTTGTGTGTGATGCTAATTCTTGATGACACCTGCTCTTCTCCCGGCCGCGCCTGCCTCTTGTGTATTCCCGGAAGGAGGAGGGTCCATTATTGCTCTGACTTTCAGCCGGGCCTGCAGGTCATCGTGGGAGTCTGCGCTGCCCCAGAAAGCCTTCTGGAAACATTGTCTCCATCATCATGCTGCTGTTGGCTCTTGGTAAAGTCAGAGGCGTGATGAGTCCGAGTCGCAACCTCAGGGTGTGTGCGACTCTTGGCAAAGTTGCCTTTGGGGAAAACATCTAGTGTGTTTTGTTTTGTCTCCTGTCTTTCAGAAATGTCATCTCCTCTCAGGCTGGCTGGCTGTGAGTGAGATGCAGGGAGGTGACGTGGGGCAGCAGAGTGGAGCGTGCGTGGGGGAGGCCCATGCTCTGCAAGTCCTTCTCTGGGCAGCATCTGGGGGAGCTGAGAGGGACCTCAGCCCCTTCCCACCCTGCTGGCAGAAACGGAGAGCTCTGGATGCTGGCCAGAGCCAAGGGGGACGCCCTGGCTGACACTACAGGAGAGGTTTTCCTGTGGATCCTGGGCCAAGGTTGGCAGACACTTCCCGTAAGGAGCCACGTGGTAAATATTTCAGCCCTTGCAGGGCAAGAGACAAAACCAAGGCTAATGTACAGGTGTTTTTATGAGAGAGAAAACAGATTTACACACACGTTTTACAAATGAGATGCAATGTGTGATCCCTGCCACGTGGGGGGAAGAGTGGAGTTCTTCGGAAGGGGACGTTTCTTTTAAGTGGGGCTCAGAGTCGGCTTTCCCCGGCACCCCGTCTGTCACTGCGGCAGTTGGAAATGTCCACCCGTGGAAACCCTCAGCCTGCAGCTGTACAGGACAGGCTGGCCTCGGCCTGCACACCATCACTTGCCCACCCGAGCCAGGCTGCCTCCTCCATCAGACAGGGGACTTGTGCCCTCCGTCCAGCCTGTCGTCACAGTCTCCATGGCAGCCAGGAGGCACCCGTAGGCTTCCACGGGGACCGTCGGAGACAAACTGGCTCCATCCCTGAGCAGAGGGAGGTGTCACGGGTCTCCTGGCTGATCCTGGCTATCAGGCAGCCCTGGGCGTGCAGAGGGAGGGAGGTGGGAGGGGCTGTGGGCCCTCGCAGGTGGCAGGGCATGAGTGATGGACTGTCAAAGGGTTTTTCTCATTTTAATTCATTTTGATTGTTTGTAGCTTGTGGCTACTGCGTTGGCCAGTGCAGATGTGAGCAGTGCAGAGTGGGCGGTAGTGTGGGGTCGGCCTGTGGCTGTTCTTCCCTCTCCTCCACCCACGCTGCTCCCTGTCCCCAAGACCCCTGCCCCCAAGCACACCACTGAGTGCACCTGGCCCAGCCGGCTCGCCACCAGCCCCGTTCTGGAAGCCACGGCACGAAACAGCATGGACCTTAAGGGCTGCTTGATGTGAAGACAAGAACGAGTGGCTGGGAATTCACCCGCTGCGCTCTCTGAAAGGTGCTTTTCGAGTGGTTGGAAACAGTTGTTTATTTTCCTTAGAAATGCTTGGGGCTTCTCCCTGCCTCTTGTGTGCATGATGAATTTACTCTCTGAAATCTGTTTTACAAACGAAAGGTCAGCGTCCGGCTGGCTCCCCACAATTAATGAGCTTGGCCGGACTTGAGCTATTGTGCGGCCCCCGCTGTTTCTACGTTGCTACGCACAGTTCTGCTGGAGCAAGCGGGGGCAGGGGATAGGTGAGCGCCTGCTGTGTTGGAAGTCCCAGCCCAACTGGCAGGCACCTCTGGTTTCTGGAGACACCCACATTGTGCTCTCCGCTTTCAGAGACAGTGGACCCAGCGCTTTTCCGAGCCCTCATTCCGACTCGTCTTGGCCAAGTGTAATCTTGGTTGTAAATGTGCACCATAAACGGAGGTGCGTTTAGGGAACAGGATTGCCTCTCCATAGCCATGCAGGTTAATTGCAGACACCTCTGCTGCCTGCCCCCCCTTCCTGCCCGTCTCCTTAAGAAGCAGGGACTGTGTATCCCCTCCTTCCCTAACAGTTTCCCTTTAGGTAGGAAGGCAGGAGGTTGCCATGGCTTCGTACTTTACAAGACTTTTGCGCAGGGAGGGAGAAGGCAGGGGCATGTCCCGCATGTGTCAGGGCAGGAAGTTTGTCTCAGTGCAGCTCTGTTGCAGGTGTCAGCGCTGTCTTGAGTGATTGAGCCAAACTCCTGGGACTGGAGCTCTGTGGTCTCTGATGTCATCCGTGTGATGTCAGAGGCCAGCAGGTACAACCCAATTGAGAGAAGTAATAAATCTCCTGAGCTGACTTTTCCAGAACCCCGCTGCCCCGCGTTGAGCCCCAACTCCCTCCAGGCCCCACCAGGTGCCCTCTTCTTTGGTGTTAGCCTCTCCACAAATTCACTTCCTGCCCGCCTGAGGGGTTTGTCTCGCTGCGGCCAGAGTCACCTTCCAGGACAGCTCTGGGCTCAGTTGGAACGCCGTGGCCTGCATCTGAACCCTGCTGCCTCCCAGCCTCCCGGGAATTCCCAGTGCTGCGTGGGGGCCCCGTTCCAGGGCAGGGTGCCTGGTAGGCACTGGGGATAGCGTGGAGAGACGTCAGTGCCTGACCTTGGACCAGAGCCCTGAAGAGTCAAAAGCAGTGAAATTTCTTCTATTAGTGTTGTGTAAAACTGGATGTGTGCAAAGCATCCGTTGTTTCCACGTGTGGCACTTAGCACTCGTGACCGGTAGCTGTGGGTGGGGGCCCTGCGGGTCCAGAGGCAGAGCTGGACGGGTGGGAACGGCAGCGCCTGTGCCGAGTCCTGCCCTTGTGGCTCCGGCCGTGGCAGGTCTGTGTTCCGTGTAGGGACCGTCTGGCTAGATCGCAGACCCCGTGGAGGTGCGGGCGTTGTCCTGTCTGCTCAGCCCTGCGCGATGCCTGGCTCAGTACCTGGCGAGTACTGGGGCTCGCTGAGTTCTGTCTGATGAGGCTGCACAAGGCCGGGCACTGCAGGGAGGCCGAGGGGGAGCCTGTGGTCCTTCCAGAAGGAGAAAGCGTCTGGGACGGCTTTCAGGGTGGAGAGAGACCTCAGGACCGCTCTGCAGTGTGGGACCAGGGGGGGCGGGGGCGGAAGCCAAGAGGTGACTGGGGAAGCAGGCGGGGGCGGACCGCAGAGGGTTTTGGAGCTTGGCGAAGGTTGAGTGGTGACTGCGGTGCCGGGGCTGGGAGCGCCCCCCGGCCTCGGCCGTGTCTGTCTCTGTGTGTGTTATGCACTCTGCCCACGGAAGTGTTGGATGAGAAGGGGCCAGGCCAGCATCGGCGTCCCCGGCTGTCTGGGGAGGGTTAGAACGAGGAGCGGCTTCGGTTGCCTGGGTGAGGTCAGACGCCGTGCCACCCACGTGCAGACTGAGCCGGAGCAGGACTGGACGCTCACCGTGGGACGGGAGCTAAGACAACCGCCCTGAAGGGCACGGGCACGCGCGTGGGACTTGTGTCTGTGTGAGAGCCGTGCACCCCACATGCAGCCGTGTCCCTGCGCCAGGTCCCAGCCCTGAGCACAGGCCCCATCTGCTCCTGGCCTGGGAGTCGGTGGCGTTGTGGCCAGTCGCTGGCTGGTGGACGCAGGTGGACAAGTGGTGAGGCTTGGTGAGGCCTGGGTTCCGTGGTGATGTCTGTGGTGATTATTTGCCGTTTTGGGCGCCTCTTTTTGCCCCAGAGGAAGGGCAGGAGCAGGTTAGTGAGGACCACCCGGGAATGGGCGGGTCCACCCCGTGCTGCACTGTGGCCACTGCTGGTGCTTCTCTCCGCTTCCTGCGGCACGACAGGAGATGATGTTTTTTAAAAATTGACAATTTTGGTTTTCGGTTCACAGCAAATCAGACAGAAAGTAGGATTCCCATATGCCCTCTGCAGATGATTTAGACAAATTTATAGTATCACTTTTTAAAAAAAGATTTATTTATTGGCCGGCGCCGCGGCTCACTAGGCTAATCCTCCGCCTAGCGGTGCCAGCACACCGGGTTCTAGTCCCGGTTGGGGCGCCGGATTCTGTCCCGGTTGCCCCTCTTCCAGGCCAGCTCTCTGCTGTGGCCAGGGAGTGCAGTGGAGGATGGCCCAGGTGCTTGGGCCCTGCACCCCATGGGAGACCAGGAAAAGCACCTGGCTCCTGGCTCCTGCCATCGGATCAGCGCGGTGTGCCGGCCGCAGCGCGCCGGCCGCGGCGCACCGGCCGCGGCGGCCATTGGAGGGTGAACCAACGGCAAAGGAACACCTTCCTCTATGTCTCTCTCTCTCACTGTCCACTCTGCCTGTCAAAAAAAAAAAAAAAAAGATTTATTTATTTATTTGAAAGGCAGAGTTAAGAGAGAGAGGAGAGAGATCTTTGTCTGCTGGTTCACTCCCCACGTGGCTGCAATGCCCAGGGCTGGGCCTGGAACGCCATCCAGGTCTCCCACAGGTGTGGCAGGGATCCAAGTACTTGGCCATCTTCCGCTGCTTTCCCAGGAGCATTAGCAGGGAGCTGGATCAGAAGTGGAGCAGGCAGGACTGGAACCGGTATTCACATAGGATCCAGTGTCACAGGCAGCGGCTCAACTGCTGCACCACAGTGCCGGCGCCTATGACGGCACAGTTACAGTTTCCCTTTGTGTGGGGACCACTGTCAAATGCCCAGTGCCTTGTGACCGTTGGTCCGTTTAAGGTGGTCGGCGCGGCTGCGTGTGTTTCTAGTGTCCACTAGCGGCCGTCGCTGGGTTGGCCGTAGGAGCTGGGACGCTATGCTGCTCTGAGAGGTGGTTCTGGAAGTGCAAGTCTGCAGCCCGTGGGTCCGGGTGCGGTGCTGTGTGTCATGGGGTGGCCACCGGGGTGTTTTACCATCAGGGCTCACGGTAACTGCTGCTGTCCAGTGTCTGTGAGGCGGCGACTGCGCGTGGTGCACGTGCCTGCTGGTTGTCACGTGCCTGTCACCAGAGCGCTTTGCCTCCAGCACCCCTCGCCCTTGGTGTTGGCGAGCAATGGGGCCTCTGCGTTTGTGAGGGCGGCGCCATCATGTCTCCAGGCTTGTCTGGTCCTCAGCGAACACCGTGGAGCACCGGCTCCGCACTGGGCAGGCACGCGGTGCCGGGTGCTGCTGTGAGGCCGGCGTCAGCACTGCCCGGGTCTCCGTGATTCCGACAGAGGACCCCAGTGTGCGTACTTTGGAAAGAAGAGGTGTTGCTGAGCTCACAGCTTTGGAAGCTGAAGGTCCAAGCTCGGGCAGCCCCATCCGTCCAGCCTCTGGGGAGGACCCAACTAGGTCGCATCCCATGGGGAGCCCGGCAGCCGGAGGAAGGGAGGGGTCCCCTGAGGACGAGGTCATCCCTTCTGAGGGCATTCCCCCCGCCCCCCCCCCCCCAGTATCTGCCCAACTCCCTCCAGGCCTCACCTCTGCAAGGTCCCCACACCTAGCTCACCCCACGGGGTCTGGATTTCTGGCATAGGAACCTCTGTGGGAGCAGAGCAGAGCAGGGCTCTGCAGGCACTGGCTAAATGTGTCTGCTTCATCCGTCAGCCTTGCATGTGGGCGTGTGACTGCTGGGTTGCGGGAGGATGGGGGCTGTGTGGGGGGAAGGCGTTCGCTTAGGCGGATTGCACCGTGCCTTCTGCCATAGCTACTCAGCACGTTCATAGTTGTAGGGTCTCTCTAGGGCGCCAGAGGGGATTGCCTTTGGGGACCTGCTGGTCCCGGTGCTCACCAGAGGGAGGGCACCCTGTGTGTCACCACCTCACCAAGCCTGCTCTCCCCAGGGGAGGGACACAGACACAGGGGCAGGCCTTGCTGGTGCCTAGGACGGACGAGGCCGTGGGGAGGAGCCGCTTCGCCACCCCTGCCAACCACCCTGCTGTTCAGGGCCTGGTCAGAGCCAGTGAGAGCTGTGCCGTGCCCAGGCCTGGTCCCCGGGGCCTTCCACAGCCCAGCAGGGCCTGGCAGAGTGGCTCTCAAGGGGCCGTTCCCTGGTGGTGCTGGCCTGAGGACAAAGGCCAGCGTTTTAATGAGCGTGCTCTTTATATTTTAGGCTCTGGACGTGGACCGGATGGTTCTGTACAAGATGAAGAAGTCTGTGAAAGCGATAAACATCTCTGGGCTGGGTGAGTACGCGCCCTTCCCTGGTGGTTCTGTGTGCAGGGCCCTGAGGCCGTGACGGTGACCCCTACGGGCCAGGGAACCAGACCCCAGCCCTGGGACTGAGCCGGGAGGCCCTGGCACCCTCTTTCCACCCCTGTGTCGCACGCCCTATTCTCCTGGGCGCGGCTTGTCCTGCTGGTGCTGAGGATGCTGGCCGACTCCCGCTCCTCCCCGTTCTCTCTCCTCTACGTCTCGCCTTTCCCTGTTCGGGAAGAAAACGCATGAAGTGCACACAAGCGTAGTCGGCTGAGTCAGCATAGAATGTAGGCTCACAGGACGCCTCGCTGTGGCATTTGGCTTCAAGACGCCAGGCTGCCTGTGCGTGGCAGGTGTGTCCCCTGCCCTGGCCCTGCAGACAGGAGAGGATTCTTGCAAGTCATTAAGTGGCTGTGTGAGGGACAGCTGGGGAAAACAGAAGCTGCAAAGCTAAGTTTACTTTGGTACAGAAAAACATGCTGAAGTCCACACCTAGTGTTTGCATAGCTGTGAGCTGTGAAGGCGTCTTGTACTGAGAAATAAGAAAGCTGCAGAGCGGGGGACGTCGTGAGCAGCCCCGAGGGGCTGAAAGGGGGCTGAGGGACGGCAGAGGAGGAGGCGGCAGCTCCCGGGAGAGCCTCCGCGGAAGTGGCGTGGCCCCTCCACGTCTAGCTCCTGTCTCCCTCTCCCCCCGATGGTGGAGGTGGTGATGGGAGCAGGGCAGGGGACGCCTTGGGCGGCTTGTGGAACAGCCTGGAGGTTCATGGGCACGGGCGGCAGGCTGCCCCCTGCGGGTCCCAGTGCTGTTAGGGCGGAGCCTTCCCCCATGTCTGAGAGCAGATTCCGCAAAAGCGAGTTCACCGGCTGTGCCCTGCAAAGCTACACAACGCCAGACTCCGTGAGAAGTACGGGCCGGGCCTCGATGCTGGTAACGTCCATCCCCCCAGAATTGATCTCAAGGTTCACCTCCAGTTCCTCCCCCGAATTCCAGGAGGGAGGCTGACAAGAGGATGCTGAAATGTGTACAAACGGGTCCTCGGCCGTAGTCGTTCCCTGGAGAAAACGATGGGGAGAGTTTCCCGTTTTCTGCGCTTGCTGTGTTCCTTGTGCTTCTGAGATGTAACGCTGATCTGGACAGCAAGCCTTCCCCTTATCCCGATGGGACCTGGGGTCAGAAGGAAGACGCCTGTGGAAGCAGAGCTCGGCCCCGCCTGCTCCCCCGCGGTGCGGCTGTGCCTGCTCCAGGAGTCACGAACTCACTGAGGAGTGCACGCTCGGCTGTGCTGGCGAATAGCGGTGCTTACTAGGTTCACCTGGGCTCTAGGAGGGGTGTTACATGTGCCGTAGAGAAGGGCTTGTTATTATCTGGTCGGAAGTAATCCGCTTCTTGTGCACACGGTGGCTGTGTGACCGCTGCTGTCAGAGCAGGGGCCTGTGTGGCTCCACGGCCAGCTCCGTGCCCAGCGGTGCACCGGGGGAGGCGCTGTCGGGCCGGCCTGAGAGACAGCACGTGCCTCGTTGCTGCACCTGCCCCTGAGCGACGTCCTCACATACAAACCCAGCGCTGTTAAACCCGCGGGTGCTTTCCGGTGGCCACATTGAAGGTGACGGGGGAGAGTTCCACGCCAGAGCCTGGGAGAGGTGGGGAAGGGCCTGGGGCTTTCACGTGGGAGGGAAGTGGGCATTTGGAGCCTCCAGGGGAGCAGAGTGTTCCTACAACAGAACCAGCGGGGCTGCCATTGGGACGTCGCAGGTTAAGCTGCCGCCTGTGATGGCAGCATCCTGTGTGTGTGTCGACTCGAGACCCAGCTGCTCCTCTTCCAGTCCAGCTCTCTGCTGTGGCCTGGGAAGGCAGTGGAGGATGGCCCAAGTGCCTGGGCTCCTGCACCTGCATGGGAGACCCAGATGAAGCTCCTGGCTCCTGGCTTTGGATTGGCATGGCCCCAGCTGTTGGGGAGTGAACCAGCGGA